CTTAGCAGGTTTAAGTTTTTGTATCTTCAAAATTGAAGTGGATTTAGCAGGTTTTTTGTATGAATAAAATTGTTTCTATTTTATTTTTTGTGATTACGAGCTCAATTTAAATGTTAATTCAAATAGTATTCCATAGATAAAAACAATTATATATATAAAAAAATACAACAGATTTATTCTTCCGTTTATTGCAACAAAAATAGGCAGTTTATAAAACATAGATTAGTAACTATACGTGAAGTATTCTTCTCTCAAATTAATAGTACAAAGACCACATATAAGATAATTTAAGTAGGAGCTCAATAATGCCAGAAAGTATGATACATATTATTCAATCATGAGGTAAATTGTTATAGTAGGCGTGGTAATCTTCAGGAAGTAATCGTTTGAAATACTGGAGAAGTCATACTTTCTGCGAGCAATCGTACGCCTACTCTCGTATAAATTCGGAAGGTGAGAAAACGGCAAGGAAACAGCTACTGGGGATTTTCTTTGCGGTATTACTTCCCATTCGTTGGAGAATCTTAGTTTGAAATGTATGTCGCCACTTGGTGTATACCGTAGGGTACGTATATCAGTTACTTTAGCAGCACCTTTGCCGCGACCGGGACGAGTTCTATTAAAGAATTGAACTGTGTTAAAACTTTTAGAGAACGTGTAACTAAGATAAGTTACGTCATATGGTTTTGAATTTTTTCTAGCTGATCTTCATACTTTAATGTATTCTGCAGGAACATGGATATCTATTTTCTTAAGTGCTCGTTCGATAGTGGAATGGATACAATCAGCTTCCATTTAGGTATGGCCTACTTCAAGAACCTTTTGCTCAATAATGATATTGTTATTTATAGCTGTGGATAACAAAGCATTAGCCATAATAGAGTTTCGGTTTTGATATGTGCATTCGTCGCTATAAAAAATTACTGCAATTGGCTCCCCGGAACTATTATTTGGTACTACATTTTTTTCTATCAAATCTACCCACACGCTGGAAAACTCTTCTGCATTTAATCTTCCTTCTGTTTCGTTCAACAAGTAAAAATAATTTCCTTGAGATATAAAAAATTAAAGCCTATTTGCTGGCTATTACCTTGGCTTAAACGCATAAAGTAATACTCTAAGTTAGAACAATACTCGAGCGACAGAAGCACAATAAGTTGGATTTAGCAGTTGAATTTGAACTGATTGTACTTAGCAGCTTTACTCATCAAACAATTTTTGACAATTATATTTTTATATTGACATATTTTTTTGCTTGCCAACTGCGGAATCACCTACTCCTTCGAACTGCATCAAAAGGTCAATTTTGCCAAAAAAAAGGATTTAGCAGGTTTACACTCTAAGCCGACGATATACATAAGGTCTTAATTCCCTGAACCCGAATCCGAGGTCCGTTAACCACCATAATGTCAGCTTCGAGGTCATTTGAAGGTCAAATAGGACATAAAATTTATTCAATAAAATTAAAAATTAAAAAAATTGTTTTTGTTGCCACTGAAACCGAGTATGGAGGTCCCTTGATTCCTCAAGGTCATCTGGAGATCATGCTAAGGTAATGAATTTTATTGAATTTTCAGGTTTATTCAATGAATTTTTCCCTACCTGACCTTCAAATGACCACGAACCTGACGTGGTGGAGACTAACGGACCTCGGATTCCGCATTCAGCATGTCGAATAACATAGGGATATATAGGTTTGGTTTAATATGCATACACTTTTTTTTTGTAAACCTGTGTTATCTTTGAGCAAAAAAAAATCATAAAATAATCATTATTTTTGATCGAAAAAATAAAAATCAAGTGATAATAATTTCTTTTGAACGAAAAAAAAATCAACTCAAATATTAATTACTATTTTTTATCTTTACTGGTTAAACTCGAAAAATAAAAATTATTGTAAATTGTAGTAGGACGTACGAACACAAATACGTGCATATAGTTAAAATTATTTTACGATTGCAACTTGTTGTTTTTTGGTTAAAATTTAAAAAATAATGATTATTTTCCATTCCTGGTTTTAACCATCCTTCAATACGTTTCTTCAAGATATGTTGTAGGTGGGCCGGGTAAATAGCATCAGCAGGGAACGGATTTTTAGGACCTAAAAACCTATAAAAAAGGCAAAATAAAATAACGAAATACTCTGGAAAAGGCAAAATAAAATAGCGAAAAAGGCAGGAAAAGGCACTAGGTATTTCAAAAAAGGCAAAAAAAGGCAAACCAAAATAGCGAAAAAGGCAGGAAAAGGCACTAGGTATTGCAAAAAAATCAAAATAAGGCACTAAAAAAAGACCGAAAATACAAAGAACAATCAAAAAATATATTTATTTTAGAAATGTTTATATTACAAGTAAAAAGAGAAAAACTATGAACTAGTTTCATTATATGAAAAATTTGTACTTTGAATCTTTGACTATTTTATCCTTTCGAGTTTCAAACTCATAAAACTTTAATCTGTATAGTTGCAGTAACATTGAATCACAAGATGCATTTTGAAGTTTTCTGGCAGCATTTTCATACGATTTTCGCGAAGAAAATCCTTGAATGTATTAAATGTTCGCTCGACGCAAGTTGATACAAGAGGAGCCCAATTTAAATATGGAACGTTTGAAATGTTCATATTATCACGAATAAGGGCGTTTTCTCCGCCCTATACAATTTTATCCACACCCCTTATGGTCTCCAAGCCTACGTTAGCTGAGAAAACGGCTTTGAATTTTTCCAACACCAATTTGGCAAGAGGTCCCTGCGCTTCTATAAGCCGCATGGGCATGTGTGTATTTTGTATTCTTTAAAAAAAAAATTTTAAATGCTATAATCACTTTTTTAAAGGTAGAAAATGCAAAAAATGGCAAATATCTTAAAAAAGGCAAAAAAAAGGCAAATATCTTAAAAAAAGGCAACATCAAATGTGTATATATGGAATCAGGGAAAGCTAAATCGTGGACATTCTTAATCGGATATGCTCTATTTCTTTAGCAGAAAAAAGGCAATTTCCATAAAATCCGTTCCCTGATCATCAGCTTCAAGAGATTTATAGAATTTGAAAGTAGATTCAGCCCATCCAGTTTTGCTATCACTTATAATTTTTTTAATAAAATATGATGTAGCTCCCGTAGATTAGATTCATGCCATGTATGTATGTACATATCGCTCGTTTGATAGAAAAACTTCGTAATCAAACACATATAGTTTACGATTTCTCATATTTAGTTATGATCATGGGGAAAAACTTGACTCAAAACTCTAAAGCCGTTTAGCTCACATTTTTTGAGTTATAACATTCTTCCAAATAATTAGCGACACGTACTTCGAATACAGTGGATATAACTGGTTTGATATACATATAGTCAATCAATAAAGTTTAGGTACATCGATTACGGGCAGCTTTTGTTTTAATTATTTTAATTTTCACAATTTTTTTTATAAAAATATGGTTAATTTTACGACCAAGACTCCAAAAATCCGAGCTCCGAACCTTGTGCAAAATTAAAGAAAATTCTGCAAATTTAAATCAAAATATTACACTTTTTAATTACAATCTTTAGAAAAAACTGAGTATGCAGTTTTCTAGCCCATTCAGTTTTAGTATAACAATATGCAAGTCTGAAGTAGCTAGGACTTATCAATGATTTTTGGCAAATTTTTTTATATGGAGAAAATGAGCGACACCTTCAACAAAAAAAATTTGTCAAAAATCAATGGTAAGTCCTAGCTACCTCAGACTCGCACTTTGAATGGTCTAAAAAACTGCATAATTCACTTTTTTCAAAATATTGTAATTAAAAAGTGCAATATTTTAATGAAAATTTGCAGAATTATCTTTAATTTTGCATAAGGTTTGCTCTGATTTTTGAGGTTTATATTGTAGAATTAACCATATCTTTATAAAAAAATTGCGAAAAATAAAGTAATTAAAAAACAGTTGCCCGTATTGCAAAAAAATCGCTGTTCCTGAATTTAATTGATTGACTGTAAAAAATTAATTTACAGCTGAACTAACGTTCTCGTAGATACTGGAATATTTCCATATATTTAAGAGTTACTTTGACATGATACGACGTTTCTAAAGACTTATGGTATATATTTTTATTTCATTCGGTTATTTATAATACTAGTTTTATAAATTCACGGTTATGGTTATTATATTTTTCCAACCAAATTTATAGTTACAAACTGGTATACTATACATCTTTCGCTCACATACTCCTTTTTAATTACATGTATTTTTGTGTAGCTTATGTCAGGGTATGTTCACTTTTCCCCATAACTCCCACGCCTCTTTTTTTACGTTAAAGACATTAATCAATATAACACCACAAACAAATTCAGCCTTTTCATACCCTATATTCCCATAGGTGTATGCCATTGTTTAGTAAAGGCTTAGCAGTACTTTAACAGCTCTTAGTTGTATATATACAAACCAAATTACCATTATACAATTGAAACATCATCTATGCATATTATGAAATCTGTTTTTGTTTTATTATATTTTCCAAAACTATATATTTATATATTTACGATATATAATTGCTAAATAGCTCTAATACAATACTTTCATTTCTCATTTTTTTAAATGCTTTAAAACCACACTCCGATTGACTGATTGATTGATTGAATGGTTGACTGACCAAAACCCTCAAAAAACCAAAACAATAATAATAATAAAAAAACAAAAACCAAAAAATACTTTGATCAAAACATTTTAAATCATCTTATATCTAAAAACTCAACGAAAAAAATATATGTCTATACATATGATATATATATATATATATATGCGTATATATATGATATATATATATGTATGTGTATAAATATGATATATATATGTATGTGTATATATATATATGATATATGATACATATTTATATACGACAATGGAAAACCCGTTAACAAACCCGAAACAAAAACCGGAAACTTTGCATTTGATAATCAAATGTTATAAACCTCCAAAAAACAATTTGAAAACCACATATGTATTTTAACTCTCTCAACAGATTTCAGTACCGGTAAGAAAAGTGTTTTTTATTCGTTTTTTTTTTACATTAGGCGATTATTGTTTTTCACATTAATTGTCGTGTAATTATTTTCAAATCTCTATTTTTCTGTTTAAGTTAATTTTTCAGATGACTTCATTTTGAAAAAATAAAAAAATCTAAAACCTTAAATATTAACAAAACTTACACGTACTCACATGAATGCCAACACACTAACAAACACAACTCCAAACACATGAAGCTGAACATACATTTAAATCGCGATTGATACTTAATGCATAAACGACGTGTCGCCACAATAGATCCGTTATAATTTAGCACGTTGTAGTGACGATCAACGAAAAATTACACTAGGTGACAGAAGAAAAAAAAATATATGTACATACAGTCAGTCAATAAAGTTTAGGTACAGCGAATTTTTTACAATGCGGGCAACTATTTTTTAAATATTTTATTTATCGCCAATTTTTTATAAAAATATGGTTAATTCTACAACAAAAACCCCAGAACCAAAGTTCCAAACCTTGTGTAAAATTTCATTCAAATATTGCACTTTTTATTTACGCTCTATAGAAAAAGTTGAGTATGCAGTTTTTTAACCCATTCAATTTTAGTATAACAAAGTGAAAGTTTGGGGTAGCTAGGACTTACCATTGATTTTTAGCAATTTTTTTTGTTGAAGGTGTCGCTCATTTTCTCCATATAAAATAATGTTTTATTTTTTTTATATGGAAAAAATGTGCGACACCTTCAACAAAAAAATGTCCCAATAATCAATGGTAAGTCCTAGCTTCCTCATACTTGCACTTTGTTATACTAAAATTGAATGGGCTAAAAAACTGCATACTCAACTTTTTTCTAGAGAGCGTAGATAAAAAGTGCAATATTTGAATGAAATTTTGCAGATTTTTCTTTAATTTTGCACAAGGTTTGGAACCTTGATTTTTGGGGTTTTTGTTGTAGAATTAACCATATTTTTATAAAAAATTAGCTAAAAATAAAATATTTGAAAAATAGTTGCCCGTATTGTAAAAAATTCGCTGTACCTAAACTTTATTGACTGACTGTATACACTAGTCAGAATATGTCTCCGTACAGTGTTTTTTTTTAATATTTGCAATGTTTTTCGTAATAAATTTTTTTCGTTAATTTTTAAAAGAAATATAGTTCATTCTGCATCAAATGGCATATAAATTATGATTTACAGTTTTTACAAAATTTAGGAAAATTCGACAAATTTTCACCAAAATTTTCAACTTTTAAACCAGTACAAAGTACAAGTTTTAAGTGGCTATAAACTACAGTTGATTTTTGAGAATTTTTTCTGCTGATGATGTTGCACGTTTTCTCCATATAGCGGATGCGTGATAGCATGATACAATAATCTTTAGAAGGTAGTTTCACTTCTTCTGTGACAACACGCAATGTGGCCACTGCTACGATATAGAACTTGGGTATTTTCGCTTGTTATTTTAGATATTTTTTAACAGAACATGTAAAGATGTATATCGCTAGCTTAGAGTGCAAAGTTGCTAAGTCCACTTTTTATGAAAACTCATATTTTGATATAGGAGGCTAGAGAAATTGACTACGCATCGTTTCGAAAATTATAAAGGTACTTGTTTTATTTTTTCCTCTTCATAAGCAATAAAAGGAAAATTTGCTAAGTCCAAAAGAAGCACCACAAATCCGATGAGGCGAAAATAATACGACATCTTTTAATAAATAGCGAATCCTTCTGATTCTTATGCAGTTTTGCTTTGCTTTAGACGCGCAAAATGTTTGATTCAAAGTCTTGCGAAATAGTTAAAGAAAATGGCTATATGCAGATTTTTTCCTCTCCTGTAAAATTTTTAAAATGGGACTTAGCAACTTTTCTTTCTAAGCTAGCGATATGTTTCATAACTGATCACTTAATTTTTAATATAAATATACGTATTTAATACATAAATTTTTGTCACTGCTAATCACATGAATAAAAATCATAAAAACGAAAATATAACGGCAATATTTCTTGTTTATAATGGATTAGATCCATCGCACACCACGGACTTTATCGGCCGCCGATTTAGATGGGCTCGCTAGTCTTTCCATTGCACCACAACTTATTTCTCAGAGCGATTAAGCTGGTGTAGTGTGCGCACCTCCATACATCTTCATGTACATATTTAAAGCGAGCCCTATTATTTAAATAGGCGGCCGATAAAGGCTGTGGTATGCGGTGGCTCTTATAGCTGTATCCGTTATAGCATCTATTCCGTGTGTTGCAATATCCACGAAAGCAGCAGTTAATTTTTTATGAAGAAAATTATTAAAAAATATTCGAAAATTATTATTTATTTTTCCAACATCAAAAGCTGGATTTTTTTTTAAGTTGGTACAACAAAAAATACGAAACACGTTTTCTGTCAGATAGCTAACATGGCGGATAAGAAGAAGAAGTGGAACTACCTTCTAAAAATTATTGTATCATGCGTGATAGGTTTTGTTTTTGTATGGGAAAAAATACCGAAGAGCGTCAGTAAAAAAATTCTCAATAATCAACGGTAGATTATAGCCAATTAAAACTTGCATTTAATTGTACCGAAATTGAGTGAGCTCCAAAACCGCATACTCAAAAAAATTCTAAAAAATTTGGTTTAATAGTTGAAAATTTTGGTGATGATTTGTCGAATTTTCCTAAATTTTGTAAAAACTTTGAATCATAAATTATATGCCATTTGATGCAGAATGAACTATATTTCTATTAAAAATAAACGAAAAAAATTTATTACGAAAAACATTGCAAATATTTAAAAAAAAAGAAATCAACATACGGAGACATATTCTGGCTAGTGTATGTATGTCGGACAAAAATGGGGTCGCGATATTTTAACAAGTTTTGGCTACTTTTTTTTCGTTTGTTTAATGTTTTTTTTTTTTTTATAGAAGTATACATAGCTCATTATCTAAAAAAGTCAATGTAAGTCCAAATTTCAACCTGTATACAAAAATTTGGAAAATTCGACAAAGTTTCATCAAAACTCCAAACTCTTTAATTAGAATTTTTAGATAAAATTTTGCTATGCAGTTTTATAGCCTACTAGCTTACCCGACACCCTACAAATTTCATAATGGGATTATAGGTAAATGTATGAAAATATAGTATTATCAGAAAGATATTGCAATGCTATAAATAAGCGATATTTTTGCTAGCCCATCTGTTCGTTAAGTTAAAAAAAAAAAATATTAACGGTCAATAGTTCCGCCAAACAAAAGTAATGATCTTTCAAACAACAGCAGTTCTGAATTCGACACACGGCGCAAAAGGTCTATAAATGTTTATAAAACAAACATAATAAGCCTATAAAAAATAGCCAAGTAATGTATAGAAAGTGCATAAAGTACTAAAAGAACGGTGGTTTAATAAAAAATAGAATGGTTCAGGTACTTTAAAAAATCTATCAGTTAGTGCTTCAGGTGGAATTACTGACGGTGCCAGTAAACAAAACCAATTATCTTTCAAACAATAGCTAGTTTTGAACTCATATCAATAGTATCTAAAATTTTAAGACATATACACTTCGATCACAGTAGCACTTATCGAACAAATACAAACAAAAAATTTAGGAGCCTTTTTTATTTACGTGGCACACTGTAGCACAGTGCTTCCTTTCCATATAAAATGTGGGCAAAAATAGAATTATGGACGGATTTAAATGAAAATTCGCTTCTTAGTAAAATTGAGGACGTTAAATTCAAAAATGCAATTTGTTTTTGGATAACTTTTATACTTTCACTGTAAATGCAGTTTGAAGTTGACAATTTGGGTTCTTGTCGCATTTCATAGGTATGTTTATATAGTTAGTTCTATTTTCAAAAGTGAGGTTTCAAATGACAGAGCTAGGGCTGTTAATGTGCAATAAAGCTTTATTCTTTTGGAAAGGGTTGCCACCTGTTAAAAATTTTATTCAAATTTTTATTTATTTAAGTTAAATGAATTAGATATATCCAATATGGGTGTCAACTGAAATGGTTTAGAAAATGCTTTACTTCTAAACGAAGGGTTGCCACATTTCTAAGAAATCAAATTCACTTTAATTAAGCATCGTGCAGATCTGATTGCACTGACAAGAAATGAAAAAATGATTTTATGCATTAGCAAAAAACGCATTACTTCAAAAAGTGCAAAAATGAGAAAGTGTTTATTTCTTTTTTAGAGAGCTAAAAACCATTATTATTAAATAAAATAATAAAAAATAACATATCTATATTAATAAAAATGTTGTGTTCGTATGTCACGGTCGTCAAAACTCGAGAACGGCTGAACCGATTTGAATAATTTACTTTTTGTAGTGATCGGTATAATACCAGCACCAATGATATCGTAAAAAATTTGAGAGTTGCCACCTATTTGAAAATTTTTAAACCCAACTATATTGATAAAAGAAATAAGTTATTACAATATGGGTATCAAATTAAAGAGGTTTAACAAAGATAACTGCTGGAAATCTTTTTGACGCGGGTTGCCACCTATTTGAAAATTTTAACTCAGTCAAATTGATAAAATAAATGAAATATTGCCATGTGGGTGTCAAACTAAAGAGTTTTAAGAAGGCTTACAGCCGAAAATATGTTTGAAGAGGGTTGCCACCTGTTTGAAAATTTAACTAAAGTACATCGATAAAATAAATGAAATATTACAATATGGGTATCAAATTAAAGAGGTTTAAGAAAGATTACTGCTGGAAGTATTTTTGAGAAGGGCTGCCACCTATTTGAAAATTTTAGCTCAGTCAAATTGATCAAATAAATGAAATATTGCCATGTGGGTGTCAAACTAAAGAGTTTTAGAAAGGCTTACATCCGAAAATATGTTTGAAGAGGGTTGCCACCTGATTGAAAATTTAACTAAAGTACATCGATAAAATAAATGAAATATTGTAATATGGGTATCAAATTAAAGAGGTTTAAGAAAAATAACTGCTGGAAATATTTTTGAGAAGGGCTGCCACAAATTTTGAATATTTAAC